CAGATTTGCACCTCTAACACTGAGTTAGCCAAAGTATGTGAGAGGGAAGGGGGAATATATGTACAGTATGATGAAAAACTTTTTTTTTAGAAGATATTGCAGAAAGCCGACAGCCCTTAAACTCAGATTTCTGGATTAATTGTGAGCATTTGTACAAACTATGAATTCATTGTAGGAATGAATAAATAACATTCATGCCATCCCATTTCTCAACCTATTCTGATTGGGAACTCATTCCGTAATTTTATTTTATTTTTTAGCAGGGATACAATTGTCCCTCTTTACAAGACTTGCTACAACAGTGGGTTTGCTTGCTTGCTTATTTTATCTTCTCTTGCATGTCAGTCCAGAAGTGTATTGCAGTTTTGTTTTCACTTAGTCCAGTTTCTCTTTTTTTCTGTCTGATTTTTCTTTATAATGCTGCAACCAATACACAGGAAACTTGGGTAAGACAGAGTTTCTTTCCTTCAATGCAATTTTAAGCCAACATGCAAATCATGTATTTTCTTAAATGGCAGAAAAAGTATCCCCTTAGCTATTTAAGAAATTGAAATAACTATTTAAAACTAACTGCTATTCTCTAACTATCTAGTTTAAAAGGGAGAAGCTTTCCTACTTTTTAAAGACTAAATCAGCAAGGAAGAAGGCCAGTACAGTTGTAATTTCAGCTCTTGGTTGAATTACAACCTCTGTCAGATGCATTTATAAAATGCATTTTTAAAATGGAAACCCTTGAAAGTTCCTGTGTATATTCCACCCTTCCCTTTTTCCACACTGCGCTGTGCAAATATGCCACAGTGAGATATTTGCTATTTTGCCAGTAGTGAATGTGTTACCAAGGACGACGACTTCCCGCCATGCACAATTTCTGGCACACTGTGATGTCTCACTGTAAAACATGCACGTATGTCACAAGAGAAAACACCCCCACCACTGTTACCTCCAAACTGAACTATACATCATTTGGGGCATCATTTTGGCTATTCTTTTACCTCAGAAAGCCACAATTTTCTTTGGTGCTAGAAAACTAATGCCAGTAGGCCACCACCAGAGAGTATTAAAACACAATGAAAGCACTATAAACACATCAGCGATTAACAAAGCCCACACACTGCAAGAACAAGTTGCAGATGATAAGCAGCATTAGTTAACGATAAAGTTTACAAAAAAAAATTATAACGATTATGAGGTGGTTATTACCTTATCACCCGAGGTTTCTTGAAGAAAGAGACTAATATAATTGAGCAATTCAAGAAACATTAATGAGGTTCTAAATTCTCTTTCTTTCTCTTTCTGCTACACAAAGTATCCCTTTCAGAACAATTGTAGTGAGCCTGCTTTCCCACCAAGTGCTGCTGCAGAATTTGTACGATATTTTATTGGAAGAATTTGTGAAAGGCCCGTCACAAGCTGAAGAGAAGGTAATACACCAGTTGCCAGAAACCAAACTCACTGGTTTCCTCAGGTACATTTCTATGCAGAACTTGGCAGTCATCTTTGATTTACTACTGGACTCCTACCGAACAGCCAGAGAGTTTGATACAAGGACTGGGCTGAAATGCTTGCTCAAAAAGGTATCTGGCATTGGTGGGGCTGCCAACTTGTACCGCCAGTCGGCCATGAGCTTCAATATCTACTTCCATGCCCTGATCTGTGCTATTGTGACCAATCAGGAAAATATCACTGCAGAGCAGGTGAAGAAAATCCTTTATGAAGATGATGAAAGGAGCACTGATTCATCCCAACAATGCTCTTCAGAAGATGAAGACATTTTTGAAGAGACTGCTCAAGTCAGCCCACCAAGGGGGAAAGAGAAGAGGCAATGGAGGGCCAGGTTGCCATCTTTGAGTGTTCAACCGGTGAGCAATGCAGACTGGGCTTGGCTCATCAAAAGGCTTCACAAACTCTGCATGGAGTTATGTAACAACTACATTCAGATGCATTTGGATTTGGAAAATAGTGCTGATGAGCTCCCTGTCTTCAGAGGAGACCCTTTCTTCATCCTTCCATCCTTTCAATCAGAAACATCCACACCATCTACAGGAGGCCTTTCCGGAAAAAACACCCCTTCAGAAGATGATAGAAGCCAGATTAGGGACTCACTCGCCGAAAACCTCACTCCTAAGGGAAGTACGGATATTCTGCTTCTTCCACCTTCGAGCCCCAAAATGGAGAAGAAAGACCAAGGCAGGAAAAAAGAATGGTGGGAGAGTGCTAGCAACAAAATTTACACCATAGCAACAGATAAAACCCTCTCAAAACTAATGACGGAATATAAAAAAAGAAAACAACAGCAGCATAACTTGGCTAATTTCTCCAAGGAGATGAAAGCTGACAAGAAAGGGGATCCACTTGGTACAAGAGGGCCAGATTCACCTCTCCCCCAAAGGCCACAAAATCTGATTGATCAAGGCCAGATGAGGCACTCCTTTAGTGCAGGACCAGAGATTCTGAGGCAAGAAAAAAGGCCACGCTCCGGGTCGACTGCCAGCTCACTCAGTATATCGGTCCGGGATGGGGAGGCACAAATACAGGTAAGAAAAGAGGAGACGAAAGGAAATAAAGTGGAAGAACTTTAAATTTGGGACACCTGCTTTTGCCTTTCATATTGGGGCACTTGGTTTCTTAATTGGTTTTTATTTATTTATTTATTTAATTAAATTTATATACCGCCCTATCTCCCTTACGGGACTCAGGGCGGTGAACAGGCGATACTAAAAACCACGATAATAAATAAATAGTTTCTGTTCTAAAATTGAATTAAATAACAGGCCTGTTCTAAAAACACACCCATACAAAAACCCCCACTGAAACATAATCAAACTACGCCAGGCCGG